CAAACATTTCAAAATACAAGTGCATTGTTTTACTTTTTGTGATTAAAAGACAAATATTTTGTAATGTGAAAATTTCTTAAATTATTAAAACATTGTCTCATTCTAGTGAACCAAGTATCTGCATTTTGTCTCGCCTTGTGAGCTAAGTATCTACGTCTAAGTGTCTACCCTAGTGTCTATGAGCGTGATAAAGCTCATAATTTTCCAAGTGTATGATATAGCTTTCATTCTTCAGGTCAATCATATATTCATGAAAAAAATCAGTTTGAATAAGGAAAGTGATAACTTTGCCATAGTATCCTTTCAAACGTTAAATTTGCAACAGCTATTGCATTCTTTCAATGTGCTGCACTTTATTTGTACCATTTTGTTTTATTAGTTTATTTATTAGAATTTGAAATATAATAACAACATTGATTGATTAGTGAGATCTGATTTTAATCCTTGAAAACCAAAAAAATAGTGCAAGTCCTTGAAGGTCCTGGAATTTTATTTTGCAGTATCTGTACGAACCCTGTTTAAGTTACCAATTCTTGGACCATTTTAATGTTTTTGTTGTTGTTAAGTTTAATCACCACCCCACAGCTAATTTTATTGGTCAACTCAATCACACAGTAGGCAATAAGCACCGTTAATATCATGACCAGTGAAATCTTTCGAATTGTCTGTGGTGCGGGGCTTGTACTGAACTGGTTTGGGGAAAAATATGCAAATAGTATGTGAACAAAAAAATGCATTATACTACAAACATTTCAGACCGTAGTGTGCTACCAGTTTTCATGTATTATTTGGCTTTTGTAATCCAATTTTTGACATTTGATCAAATACTGAGTCAGGTCATGAGAGGTCAATTTCTGTGCATTGAGTTTTGGGATACAAAATTATGTTGCTGCAAAAAATAAATAATAAAAATCTATACAACATCACTGTACTATACTATTACAATATGAATAATGTTTTGCATCAGTGTACGGGAGGCGATCTTCCCCTGGCCACGGGGTATTATGGCAAAAATGCCACTAAATTGGACAAAAATGCTCCTGCACAAACAAATTAAATCTATTGCGTCTGTTGCTAACAAAGTGAAAATGAATAGGAAGTGTAGATTGCGGCATTAGATTAAGATATGCTCATGTTGCACCGAATTTCATTTTAGGCGTTTTTACAGTTTTACGCATTATAAGTAGAGCCCGACCGATATGGGTTTTTTGGGGGCCGATACCGATATTAGGGAGTAAAAAAAGACCGATATATCGGCCGATATTCTTTATGTGTAGGCTATATTATAGTACAGTATAGTCAAAAGTTTGGACACACTTCCCATTCGTGTGTCCAAACTTTTGACTGATTCTATATATAGAATAGGCTACAGTATATAGCCTACATTAACAGAATATATATACATAAACACATTTTTTGCAATGATAATTATTTTAAAAAAAATTATATATAAAATTGTATAATTATGTAGAATTTATTTATATTTATATTATTTCTATAGTAATTTATTATATAGTAAATTATACATTGTGTGTGTGTTTATATAATTTATTATATATTTATATTTAT